ATAATGAAGCTGCCAATATCTCATTTATTTGTGTTTCAAGGAAACATTTTTACTGTAAAAGGCTGCACATTATAATGCTTAATACAAAGTGGCTGAACAAAGAAACCCAGTTCTAGCTGACTCCGTTAATACAGATTTTCTGCTATGCGAACTTTAAGTGCTTTGGCAGTCAGGCACCCAGTATCCTGCAGTGATTCCACAGTGTCTTGTTGTAGGACCGTGAGAGCTCCTCTTGCCATCTCCACATCATTTCTTGTGAGACAAGCACCGAAGTGCTGAAGCATAACACTATTCAGAACATCTTTAGGCCTGGTCCTGTCCTGTACTTTTTACATACAGAAAAGTACTTTTTCAGTCAAGTAGATTTTTGATTGCATAAAAAGATCCTGGTTCTGATTGTGTGCAGATTTAAATGTGTTTAATAAACCTACACTGATATCAACCAGTGGCATTGCAAAGTGTGTGAAGTTAAGCATGTACTTCCTGGGAGTAAGACCTGTGTTAAAAGAAATAATGTTTATAAACATACCCACCCACTAAATAGCAGGGCTTTTACCACAAGGGCTTGATCTTATTCTTTTTACCCATTCCAAAGCTCCTATTTACTTCCTTGGGTCCTCTGTGTAAGTTGGAAGAGGATTTCAGAAACCACACAAAACACCACACAGAAAGATCGTTAGATTTTCTATTTTTTAGCATTTCTGCACAGTACTAATACCTCAACAACCCTATTCAAACTGATCAAGGTTTAGAGCTCGGGGTTCTTCCTTGGTCTGTGTTGGTATAAGCTCACATTCAATTCACAATTGAAACTAAATAGCAGCCTTAGCATTTACCTTACTGTTTTTAATGTGAGGGATAATGTTGTATGGCTTTTGTCTCATATTCTTAAGGAAACAAAAGAGCTCACAAAAATTATATGAGACAAATTAGGCAGTTTTAAGATCAACTTTTATTGAAAAATTAGAACTGCATTGCATATCTTCTTTATAACTTCGACATTTCTTAAACCACAAAACAGAGATTCTGTTTAAAAAATCTCTTCATATTTGTCACCATTCAAAAAACAGGTTATGAACTAAGCCAATGATGATTTTAAAAACCTGGGTTATTCCCAAGTCCCCTGGTTCCGTCTGTCTGTCGTGAATGGTATAATCTATCTATCTTCTCGAAAAGTACCTTTAATAATACAATCAGAGTTTTTCCTCATTCAAAATCAACAGCTGCTGTTGATTTTTTTCCAATAGTCAGTCTTTTCCAAATAAACTACCTCAGTTAATAAGTACTGCAGCCACGTGTTCAGCTAAGATCTTGCCTATTGTTTATTTGATCTGAATTCACTCACACAAAATTACAGTGATTGTCCATGTGATTTTAAAGGCAAAATTGCTACCTTAGAGTGTATTTTAAACCTCAGAAAAACAACATTACTCACCTGGAATTGCAATCCTTTGAATTAGCCAACACTTCTGTATATCCATACTTCCTGATCTCTCACAGTCAACAGTGTATGGATTAAAAAGCAGGAAAATTCCAGGTAAGCTTTTGCTGAGAAGCTGTAACATATTACTCAGGTGAAAATTACCTACTGAGAAGAAAACACAGATGAGTTTTCTCACTGATGACTGTAACTGCTCTGTTAAAATCAGCTAACCAAGTCGGAAATTAATGAGCCCTGTGCCTGTGGAAGCAGGTACATGTAATAGGGAAGCACTCCAGAGTCTGATATTAGAATTAAAAGCTTTGCAAAAATCTAATTGTGGGTATCATCTGTGTCAAGACACAACACTGCAGAAAGGCAAGATAAAATGCAGAGGCTAGGAAGATAAATTTAAAGCCCCTGTCTTTAGAGAAAACACCTCTGTGATAATTGTCTCACTTCTGAAACAGGCAGGAGGAGCTCAATTATTCCCACTGAGCTACAAACCATCAGTGGCAATGGGTAGAACCACTGATGCTTTTGACTTCCCAACACACAGGGTACTCAAATGAAAAAGCAGAAATTTTAGCACATTGTATATGTGCTGAAGAGATCTAGATCTATTTCTGACTACATCACAGGACTGTCCAAGGTTTGCTGTATGAATGCCAGTAAACCACTTCATGGTCTTTCCTATAGTTTCATGATCAGTTACATCAGGACGATTCTAAGAGATATAACATTTCAAATACAATAAATTATTATTAGATTATTGAAATGATGATCTGGATACAAGGTCCATAAGGTTAAAATGTTAAGGTTAGAGGATTAAGGGTAAATTGGGATCTTTAGCAATGCTGTTACTGAAATATCTTGACTAGGGAGGTGGAGGAAGTCAGAAATTCCCAAAGAACTGGCTGAAGAAATCACAAGGACCATGGTGCTGCTTGTGTGGAAGATGTGAGATCCCCTAGTGAAGCTAGGTCAGCAGTTACACATCTTTGCATTAATTATACTAGTTCATATCCATCCCTGGAAACATTCAAGACCAGGTTGGACGGGGCTCTGAGCAGCCTGATCTAGTTAGCGGTGTCCCTGCTCCTGCAGGGGGGTTGGACTAGATGACCTCTAGGGGTCCCTTCCAACCCAAAACATTCTATGATTCTATGATTCTATGATTGTTTCTCATAAACAAGGAGGACGGAGGGAAATCTTTCAATCTTCTGTAGCTGCCCTTTGAATAAAGTAAAACTGTGACAGAGACCAGATTTCAGGCAGAAGCCTGTAAATTGAAATGTGACACATACTCCCTCTTCAAAACAAACTTCTTTCTGCACTCTAAAAAGAGCTCTCAGTGAGGGGCCCTCTAGTTTTGATGAATAGCTGGTATCTATAAAGAATGGCATTTAATACTATGGAAGTTGGTACTGAAGCCAATGTTCATGCTGACTATTTCTGTATTGCAGGCCTCAGGTCATACAGCATGGATGTTTACATCAAGAAAAGTAAGGTATTGAAGACATGGTAAGATATCAGGGTTATAATTAAGGAAGATTGAGGTTTAAGATCAAGAAGGCAAGAAACCAGCTATACTGTCATGAGGAAAATAACCTAATGAAAGAAATACTGTACTGGTGAGATTACTGGGAGGGTTGCATGGCATAAAGTAATGATGTAGACAATCTTTTGGAAGTCATACTCATAAATCTAAAAGACAGCGACAAATTTATAATCATTTTTAGATTCAACTCAAACAATTTCAAGAAAAAGTTTAGAGAACGTTATGGAAAAGGGATAAGCAATAGTCCTATGAAAAGCAGGAAAGGCAGTGCTGTATGATATGGTGTTTACCATGACAGCTTCTTCCTTCTTCCTGCTCTGACCCAGCCAAAGACGTGAGACAGCATCCTCAGAGGACAACCAGTGGGACCTGCAGAATGGAAATCTCTCCTGGCTGTGGCTGTCCTTCCAGAGGACTGAAGGGAGCCAGAGAGGCTGAGAATACTGCATAGCATGACTGCATGTCACTGACTGTTTCTAAAATAATTCAATTTTATTACTGACTTTGGGGAGGGGGCAACTGATTAACTACTGACTTGCACAGAAGATAGCCATAGAAGCATGTATGAAAAAAATTGAAATAAGCATATTCCATTTATCACCATGACAGTAACTCAGTAGACACAGGATTATTGAATCTTCATTTTGTTCCACTACTCTGCTTCCAGTATGGAGTTTTCCACTCGGTAGTATTGATCATCTAATGATTAAAACTGAACAAGCTACGGATGACTCTGGTGTCTATACTTTGAGAATTCTAGCCAGTTTAAATTGTTGTGACAAGCCAGCTGTATTTAAAGATTCTGAGATTACTTTTGGTTTTATTTATTTTATAAGCTCCAAACACATAGTGAATTCCATTTCACTAGAAGAATTATGCTGGTTAAAACTCCCACAGAAATGCTATAGACTTTCAGGAATCTTCCCACCAAATTTAGTTTAAATGGACATAGAGATTAGTCCTGAAATACAACTCAAAAACAGGGGCCTTGGTTAGTAACCAATATTCACTAGAAAAGCATTCAGAACACTGAACAGACAGTCTGACATTACAATAAATAAAATTGAAAATTCTAATAGATTAAAGGGATCTCATCAGTTGACATTCTATACACAATGTTAGAATTCCTTATATTCAGTAAAATTATCTGTAAGTTATTATTTTAAGGGCACTAGGATTTAAATGAAAGTGTCAACTAATATTTTTGTATTTTTTCTTTGGCTCACAAAGACACTAAAATACCATAAACATTATTTAGAACTTCAATAATATATAAATAGGGTACATTACAAATGGAAGAAAATACAAGACAATTCTTCAGCATGGTAAACCTCTGCATATAAATAAGCAAATATTTCATATACCTACAATTCGACAGTTATCTTGCTGTAAAACTATTACATTTAAATCCTTTTACACAAAGTCATTTAACAATAATATACACAATCTACACAAATTAACCTCTAAAAATACAGCAATAGGCTACCTGTTACAATGACTCTGCTACTATTATCCCCTGATGTGACACTAAAGGGGAAATACAACTATTTTACTCGAAGGTGCTGTTAGAGATTGCTATTTTGTATGTGAGAGAAGCACCAACAATAAGATTTAATACTGTTATACATTTTCTTTAGCTCCTAAGAATCTACATTTTAGAAATGTTTCTATATGTCTATTTTTACCTGGCAGAAAAATCTGTAGCACATTATCCACATCATTAGTTGTTGAGGAAAAGTTAACTCTTTTAAAGTGGAAAACATGCTGTGGCTTAGATCTAAGTTTATAACCACTTCATATATATATATTACTTCAAGATAATACATTTTCCCTCAGTAATATGATCTACCAATACATATATGTTTCAGTAGCCTGTAGTTGTTTTGTTTAAGGATGTCTTAGGAGATTGGAACTTACAGACAGAGAATTTCCTTAAAACATGTTCTGCAGAACTGGGTTAAAAAAATAGCCAGTGCTGGAAAACAGTGAATTAGAGAAATAACTAATTCAGCCACTGTACTACAGCTCCTGCCCCAGTCTTTCTATTTCCTCAATGAGGAAGTCAATGTCAGACTTCGTTGCTGCTGGGTTTGAGATGACCATTCGGAAGAAGTTGACTTTGTCGCCCTGAGGCTGATATCCAACCATGGTAGTACCTGACTCCATCATCAGTGCTTTGATTTTCGGTGCCACCTTTATCATTTAAAAAAAAAAAAAAAGAAAGGAAAAGAGAAAGAGAGAGAAGAGTAATTAAATAATTTTATCATTTCTTTGTATATCACAACATTTCTTAATTTGGAAAAAATAAATGGACAGATCAGAAAGGCACTAGGTTTTATAAAAAGATCTGTAAGAGAAAAAGCTTGAAAAACTAAATATGTAGGATTGGATATTTAAAGAAAAATGGACAACAATAATATCCATCTTTTTTGATTAATAGACTAATAGCATCCTAGAATATTCGCTATGTAATAATTTTATATATTAAATGTACGTATCATTTCCCTGTGCTGAAGATTTTGTCATGAAGAAATATTTTCAGTCTTTTTATGAAAACCCATTCCAGACCACGTTTTTGAGGGTCTGGGGGACAATGACGTAAATTTTTCAGTAAGATCTATTTCACGAAGAATATTTTCTGTTAGCATAAGCCATGGAAACCTTCCAGCAGTTTTGCAGTATTGTGCATTTACTGCAATCTCACTTTCTCTCTTTAATTTACATGGAATAATGTTCTGACAATCTTAATATCTGGTATCAACTGAGCCCGGTTTTGCCATTTCTTTCTCCTGCTCTACTCTCTGCCAGACAAGGTCAGATGTCTGACTCTTTTACTGTTTTGTAGGATGCTTTAAAATGTCCTCTAACATTTAACAGGGTCAAGTCAAACATTTCATCCTTCTTCCCAGACTTACCTATCTTCCTGTTTTCTCTCTTTTTTGGCAATTTCTTCACCTAACACGTCACTGGGTTGACTCAGGAAATTTCTATTCCCTCTGTTCTCTTTCCCCAGTGTGATGCAGACATAAAATCCTCTACAAAACCTCCCAAGTTTGCCCTTTCTTCTCCCTTCCCAAACATAAAAAATTGCCATTCATTTTGACAACTATAAAATCATTCTTTTGGCTCCTGAATGTATTTCATTCTACTTCTGTCTGTCCAAAACGCTACTCCAAAATTAATGCATTTCACTTCCTTCAAGTCCTAAGTAACACGATGCTTCTCCTGGTGGTGCCTCTGTGATGCCTTTACTTCCCTCCATCATTTCTTCAAATAAATTTATCCCAAAGTGCTCCAAAGGGTATTCATTTTCATTGAAATGCATTAATGCATGACTAACCAAGCACATTTTGAATCAAAATAAAGACCTGAGAAGGACTTACAGGCTTCCATGTCCTTTACCTGTCCCAGCATTTTCAAATAATTACCCTTCCGTTTCTCTTCCTGATATGCCGTCCAGTTCAAACAGGACTGGGCCAGCTTTGTGCCTAGCTACATTTTAAAGATAGTTTAAAAATTTAAAAATAGTTTTGGGACCACACGAGTGATACAAAACAAAGAATAATGGAGTATGTTCTGTATCTGGCTCTATAGGGGAAATGTGACTGCAGCCTCAGTATAAATAGGAGACAAAGGTGAACAAATATCAAGGTCATAACAAGCAATTGGAGAACTGATGTCCCAGAATTTGGAACATGTGTCAACACACAGATATATTATTTTTAGTAAACAGAATACTTTGGGTTGAAAGAGTAGACTATATTTTTGCATTTAACAAAAACCACATACCCTGTGTAACTTTTCTCTTCTCTCATCACAGTCTGGCATGCCCCTGAGACTTGGTGGAATATACCAAAAACATACGTTTGTATGCTCTGGCTGCAAAAAGAACCAAACACATATATTGATAAACAAAACAGATCAATCACATCCTAAAGGCTAGTCAGTAGCATATTTTAGCACACACATGGGAGACAAAATATAGTATCCTAGTTCTGCATGTTAAAACAAAATAAATGGATTACAGTACTGCTGGTTGCATCTGCTGTCTTAGATTCCCTATACATTGTCCCATTTACAATGTTTTAGGGTTCTAATGAAGTGCAAATGCTTTTCACCTTCATGCAGTTTTATGAGGGACTGTTTTCCAGGATCACAGCAAGGACAACCCAATTTTCCTTCTCTTAGTAAATGGAGAGATGAAGTATATTTGTTATTCTGTCAACCAAGAGCTAACGTAGTGGCACTAGCAACAGAAGATACAGAAAAAATAGCGGATTCTCAGTTATGTGTATTAAGGTGGAATCTCAGCATGAGTAGAGTGTATTAAGGCAGTCCTCATGCCCTAAACAGAGAAGTCCTCTCTAGAAGAGAAGCAGAGGAGATAAATGTGACATTTATGATACAAAATCATGTGTATTTGGCCAAAAGACTGCCCAGATGCCAATAGTCATGTCGTTCCTTAGAAAATAAGAGTAGTTTCGCATAGCTGGCTTGAAGAACTGTGAGAAGTGTGAAGACTGCTTTCAGAATTCCATACAGATTTGGCTCCTACACTCAGGTTAGATGAAAGACAACTTACCTCCCCTTCAAAAACCATCTCAAATTCTTCTCTGTTTTTGATTTTAGTGTAGAGATATTCTGCCAGCTCCAGGCATTTGTTGATCTGATTTTCAAATCCTACTGTACCCTGTTTTAAAAAGAAAGTTGGTATTAATTATATGGTCATTTGTCCTCCTCCGATGCAATCACCTTATCAGATAGGCTTCACTCTTAAGTGTTTTAAGTCAGAAAACAGTTAGCAGTACTGTTTCTTGTAATTTAAAAGTAAAGTTAATCAGCACTATAAAAGTAGCTAAATGTGGCCTAACTGTAATCACTATTTGGTTTTGGTCTCATTTTAAGAGAATTTATTATTATAATAACAAGGGCTTTTGATATTTTTAATCGATTTTTTTAGCTCTTATTTTTATCAGTTTCCAAAAATATTATGGAATATGAATGAAGAAGTAATAAAGAGAAGTACATTCTTAAATTATTGCATATTTGGGATAAAGTGACTGAAGGTAAAGTCACAAGAATACTTCTGGACCCAGGTTGTATCTTTCTACTATGAGGACAAGACCATGATTACTCATGGTGGCTAAGTCTGAAGAAAAAATTTCCATCACTCTTAATATTTTGTTTTCTTAACATTTTAGTAATATAATCATGCAGTCTGCTAGAAACAGGTTCTATCCAATTCCTCAGAGAACTCAGGTCCAAGAAATCTGAATCTGTCTCAAGACCAAACAGAAATCCAAAGTAACTAATTTCTGGAGAAATTTAAATTCCAGATATACAGATCAATTTTGCAATTTTAATCTATATTATTTTTAAAGAATCACATCCACAGATATCCTACTTCTGAATTTTAAATACGACCCACATCCATTATGGTTTCCACCGTGATTTTTTTCTTTATTGTGAAGTGCTCTACTTCTTTAGTGAAGCCAGTTTAACAGCAGAGATAGAATCAGCATGGTAGTTTTAACAAAATGTGTTTGGCTGGTATTTAGAAAAATGTTCAGTCTGTCCTTTGATGGTGTCTGTCAGAACTTGGTACTTAGAACCATAAGCAACACACTTGAAAGTTGCTGGTCAGAGTCCGATTCTAATGTGTCATAAGCAGTTTCATGTTACTGGATTACAGCACCAGAACGATTTATTTTGGAGGAAGAACTGAGTCTGCACTGAAGTATACTTAGCCTGGAAATCAAACCTATGCTGATTACTAAAGTAATTGTTCTAAGTATTTTGTGTTGAAGTGTTGTGTTTCTGTTTCTGAAGTACTTTTAAAAATAAACAAGAAGGACTCTACAGTCTGTTTAAAAGTAACTTTCTATCTAAAGTTCTGTTACTTTCCTCCCTCACTCTTAAATATTGAGGAAATCTGCATGAAAACATCTTTTACCATCACAGGTTATTTACTATCGCTGTCTAACTTCCACCCAAAGTGAAAACTGTTTTATGATTGTACATTTTGCCATTAGATTTAATCTCAGTTCTATAAAAAAATTAGACTGTGGACAGATTACCCAACTGAATTCCCATTTTGCCAGCAGAAGAGCAAGAATAATAATAATATGATGATTGCAGATAAACAAATAAAAACGAAATGTGTTTTCTTGACTACATGGACCTTCATCCTGTAAACAGGTAAACCTGTATGTAAGCCCGTGCTTAATTTCAGCCATCCAGGCATACCAGAGTAGTCCCAGGGAATCAGCTGTTAAATCATTAGTTGGGCAAAGCTTCTTAAGAAAAAGGATGTGTTTTCAAAGTGGCTTATAAAATCCATGCATAGGAACATGATGCTCAGAGGACCCTTGTAAGTTATCAAGTCTGCTCTGCTGCTACTACAAGTAATCTGTAATGAAATACATATGTAAGTTTATAGACTCACAACAAAAGACCATTTCGGTGTCCTGCCCTCACCAATTTTACTGCAGGGCTCATCTAGTGACTTAAAACATTTCTTCTAATTTCCATCTGAATTTATTGATGGCTAACATTGTTCTACAATTTAAATGGCTCTTTTCTGACTTAATACTCAGATACCTGTGTATTTAGAGATTGTAATTACACAAATATTGATATTAAAAAAGTGTTCCACTACATAAGACCGATAAATTAAATAAATACATTTCTGATTTTTGAGCTGAACTTTTATTATTTACCTTTGCCTTCCACATCAACCAGAATTTGAAAATGTCCACATGTCGGCCACACTGTATTGCCTTATCTCCAGTGTCATAGGATACATCATACTGTTTGTCTTGCTGGAAGAGATAGCCTGCACACATTTGGTTGCAGCCTTGAAGTATACCCTGAGGTGAAAAACATGTATTTATATGACTTCTATGGCACATATGCGTATGAAACTGTATGCATTAATCATATGCTAAAATATATTTCAAATATATATACAGAATTGTTCTTTAATGGCCAAATTATAAAACACTGACCTTGTTTTGTAAACCTGAGCCACAAAAATAATTTCATGCCCTAAGGTGGTTCTCTTAGAATTCCCTGAGTAGTCATATGGTTTTACACACTCCCACACCTGAAAAAACATTCTCACATGAATTTGGATTCTTAGGTTTTGATACTAACTTCGTTCACTTCACTGTGTAAGGCTATGTTTTTAAGACTTAAATTTGTGATGTGTTAAATTACACACTAGAATAAAGCTGAGGTCTCTCAGTGTAGCAGATAGCTACAGAAAATGAAGGAAAAAAGTAATTGAAGGCTCCAACTTTATATATTGTCCAGCTTTATGACACTTAACATTAGTGGTAAATTTAAGTACGGATGACCTAAATCAGAAATTTTTTCTTACAAATAAATATGGTCCACAGACCAATAGAAACCTACAGATTACTGGTGAACGTCTCTGAAGGAAACACAGAGGAGCAAATTCCTGTACGTTACACAGAAGTCTTACACATGTCATTTCTAAAATGGCTTGCATCTCCTTTAGAGTTTATTAGTGGTTCTTTGAAGACACTGGTGTATCTGATAAATACAAAAGCACCTATCAAAGTTAGCATATAAAGAATAAAAAAATTTGCCAAAATCCTGCAATAGTTAGCATAATAAGCATACATGACACTAAATAATGGCTAGTGCTTCCTTCCAATAGATTGTGGAAATGTTTTATAAAGGGAAATAAATGCTGCAGTCTTCAGTTTAGAGATGGAAGAACAATGGCAGACCCTAGGGCTGGAGCCCGTAACTCCTTCATCCCAGTTCTCTGCACAGGGACCACATCTTCAACTAATCTCTTCTAGTAGCAACTGACGTGCCAGAAATTAGTAGACAACAGAATCAGTCCTATCCACAGATGACAGGACTTTTTTTTTAAATCATCTAAGGAAAATATATATTGCTTAAAAGAATTAAGACACTGGTCTTCCTTTCATTGTTGACAACGAAGAATCTAGAAGAAAGCCCTAAAAATATTTATGGAGTCATAATAAAAGCAACATGGTTTACTTTCAACAGAATTGAGAAACTTTTAAACCACTGTGTAAGGCAAAAAAAGTTGCTTTTTATTGAAGTAGTTTAGACTGTGACCAATTACTAAGACCAGGGGGGTATGTTCAGTATATCATAGAAACAACAGGGCAGATGCTCAGGTGAACTATGTTAGCATTGCTCTAGTGCTGTTAGAATATGCAAAGATTCAACAGCTAATGATGTGACCCATGTTGTCTACAGCTTTAACAAAAAAACCAACGAAACAAAACAAAACAAAAAAGGAAGCAGATAAAACAACTTCCTAAATACAATGTAAATCCACACAACTATTCCCTCCAAAAGAAGTTTTGAAATTAAATGGATTTTGCACTACCCTCTTAAAAAGTAGGGCTTGATATTTACTTTTTTTTTTTTCCTTAACTGTTTTATTATTAAATATAAGGCAGACCTTCTCCCGGACAAGAATGGCAGAACATTGTAACAACACTCCCATCATCTTGTGTGGATTCCAAGTGACTGAGTTGGCTCTGCAAAAAAATTACACATTCAGATAGGTCTGGAAAACAGAAACTTAACCTGAAGCAGTCACCTTTGTTTTCTGCTTTCAGATGGAAATGTATGAAGTTTTGACCATGATGATTTCACTATGAAGATTATTACTGTCTGAAGTGTCTTCTTTCCCAGCTATACTGCCCAGGAAAGGAATTTTTTGTGTGCTAGCATTGCAACGTCAGACTTCTGATTAGTTTATATTATTAGTAATGCCAGCTAATTAGTGTCAGACTACGCTGATTAGCTGATGTAGTAACTTCATCCCCAGAAGACTCCACTTCTAGAAACAGCAATAATAAAACTAACAAACCCAGTTTGAAAGGTTATATCAATTGAAGGCACTGACCAGGGGAGGGGCCTGTCAGAGAATTAAGGGAATAATATGAATTCTGGGAGAATACAGTTCTTTACTGAACAGCTGCTGGAAAAGTAGAAAGCAAAGGAAAAGACACTCCTCATCCTTACCTGCTTTTCCAGTTAGAGCCACAAGAGGCCTTTTCTGTACTAGCTTGTCAAGCCCATGGACTGTTAAAACGCAATAAAACTTTACATTGCCATCCTACCATCCTGTATGTAAAGCTTATAACTTTTTACATGCTAACACAGGTGGATGAACAAGATCACTTCATTTACTAGCCAAACAGATGAGATGTTCTGTATTTTTATCATGCTATCCTAGACAGTTTAATGATGATGCTAAAATAAATGTGTCAGCATTACACATCCATTGACCTCTTCACCCTAAGTAATTAATTACCAAATGTCCCCTTGATTCACTGTGTGTTCCGGAGAAGGAAAGTGTATAATCATATTTCACAGACTATGCATGTGTTCTTACAATGTGGTTGAAAGAAAATTCAAAGACATTTCCTCCTGTTCTATACCCTGCTCTCAGAGGACACAGACACAACCACGGTTCCTCTGTTTTGGGAAATACAATGACTCCTTCATGCCAGTCAGAGGACCACTAGTTCCATGAAGATTCCAGATACAATTCCAACCTCCAATTGCATTAGTTTAGACCGTAGCACCCCTCAGCCAAAAGAACATCACAGCCTGTACTGTAGCTGGGGGAGCTCACCATCCCTCTAAAATCTCCTGCTTGGGCAGTGCAAACCAGCAGGTATATAGCTCAGACTTAGGAGGCAATTATCTTCTTAAAAACTTCACTAATAGTTCAGATGGAGCAGTCAAGAAACAGGAATTTATATAACAGCTCATTTCCTTTTGCATGCACTATGGTTTCAGCTTAGCGCATTTATTTAACTTTCAGGGTTCCAAACAAAGACAATCTCAAGTTGTTTTCGCAAGGAGCATTAGCTTTATTTTAACATGAAGATGCCTCTCTCTGCCCCGCACAGCCAGCCAGCTGGAGGCAATCCTACCGCAGACGATCCCAACTCTGCCCCATGGCAGCATGCCAGTCCGCACACAGCCATGTCTCCAGGCAGGCCACGTCTGGCCTGAGTGTTAGCAATAGACCCCAGCTGGGGCCCGTGACAGGCAATTACACAGTACAGGTGGACCCCATCCCATGTTTAAAAATCCATTCAGCTGACTAGAAAAGAAAATACCATGCTTTGTGGCCTGCTGTTTTCTGTATTTGCTTAAGATTATGGTCTTAATTAGCACCTCTGGGTTGACCTCAGGTCAAGAGAGGTGTTCCAAACTACTGTGACCAAACCTATGTAGCTTAAGGAAAGTATTTTACAATGCTGACCTCATATTAGACACATTGCTGTAAAACGAGAGACTAGCAGATTAGATTGGGCAGAGGTTGATAAGATTCTGCTACTTCAGAAAACGCCTGCCATGCCACACACTGCTGTCCCTGCAACAGAAGGGTCCACATGGTTTTCCTACCAGTCCTTCTGTACATTATCCTTTATCTTGTACTTGTCCTTCACTTACTGTATGAGACGCTTACCAGTAGGAAAGTTTGTTTTCCCTAAGGAAGAGCATTGCTCACTATTCTCATTTTACGCCTTTACACAGTGCCCTCATTCAGCATAGCTGACTCAGGGAAGCAATTTGATGCTAATTTGAGAGTACATGGCTAGAGCTTGTTTCAAATCTTTTTTGCCTCCCTGGAAGCTGGTTTCTGCAATGATCTTATGTTTCTGATTCTTCATTGCTTTTCTGATTTTTTTATTCAGATGGGCAGCCTTTTGTGATAGAGCAGTTTCAGAGGAATGTAGAGACAAAGACACCTGTGGGGTTATAAACATAGCCTCTTCTACAGACTACAGCCTTGTCATCACTGGATATGGGAACAACTGTGCCAAAGACTACACATGGGACTCCTTCTGAGTCTGAATTGTAAGGCTGGGGAGAGGGTCACACTCTCACTCTGTTATCACTTGCAACACAAATGTTTTGCCTTTTTAGATTGGGTTCAATTATTTGTTTAATAAAGGCAAGCTTCTGGTCTCAGCGGGTGCCTTGGTAACCTGGGTTATGTGCTTGGGGGCACACACACACTTTTCTGCAGACTGTACTCTGGCCTCTACAAGAGCTTCCTGTTTGTAATCCATGTAATCTTCCCATGGCACCAACTTACAGGCCCCTTTAACCTGAGACGCAGTTAGTATCTGGGACTCTTTCTGGCCTCCCTGTAAGTTTCCTCAGTCTTCTGTCTGGCACCGTAGAACTGTGCCAGCTCTGTGCTGTCCAACCTTATAGGCACGGACATTTGCTCACAAAAATTGCTGCTAATTCAGTCTCCACTATGTGTTCCTCTGTTGTTTACACATATATGTGTATATATACAAATAAAAGCAAGACAAAAGCAAGCATATATATATGTATATATAATAAACTTTCATTTACAGACCACTCATTTTCAGGAAGAACATATGCCCTTTATTTTCTGGAAATAAATGCAGACATCTTTCAGGAGAGAATCTCTACAAATTCCCACCATGTCATGGCTTCCCATCAAAGGTGTTCAAGCTCAAACACCTTCTCTGGATTCCTCGTTTCTCACTGCTGTTCTCAAAGCCCAACACTGCAGAGATTGTCTAGCCCTCACACTTCATTTTTTCCTCAAATCCTCCTTCACCTGTTCCCAGACTTATGATCCCTTCAAAGCTACACATAGAACAACCTGCCTTCCTTTTTGCCAAGAAATATCAGTCCTCCTTCAAAGCTGCTAAAAACTTACCTTTCACTCAGCTGTACATCACTGTTACCTTCTGTAGTATTGTTTGTCTTCCTAGTGTGAACCTTTCCTGTCTGTCTTCCTTTTGTTTAATTTAGTGTTTAAACTCCTTATTGTAGCAAATTCATCTTTTCATGAATTTGTGAAGTGTCATGTACCTTATGAAAGTACTCAAATAACAGTATTACAAATAAGCACCATCTAGTACCTTTCTATTCCATTCAGTTTATGACGATGCTTTCGGGACATTAAGAGTCCACCTCCCCAGGCAGCCTGGAAGAAATAGAAAAGACAAGACTCATTGTTTTGGAAAAGTCTCACATATTTTAATTTACTCAGGATCTAGTAATAAATATTTTAATTCAAGACAAAACTCCTCTTTTGCCTGAATAATAGCACTTCATTTAGTTACTTACATCTACATGGAGCCAGAGGTTATATTTTTCACATATATCTGCAATCTCCTGTATTGGATCAAAGGCTCCATATACTGTTGTGCCTGCAGTTGCATTTACAAAGAGAGGAATGTACCCCTACAATAAAAATAAAAATATTAAATACAAAATCCAACCTCTTTCAGAAAAAGAAATACCTCTGAAAATCATTTCAGAAGTGTTGCTATCCCATTTTCCAGCCTAAAAGTGTTTTTCTTCCCACGTGAAAGGTACATATAAGCAACAGTAAAAACTAACAATTTGTATACAAGGTAGGAACAAACTCTGGTTTTATTGTACTATAACTTCACAAAATTAACTAGTCAGAATGTAAAGGATATTATTTTGTCTAATCTCTTTCACTGAGGAGATTCAACCGTTCTAGTAGAAGACTAGCAGTAGTCAAGTAAAGTTGAAGGTGTCCCTGCTCACTGCAGGGGAGTTGGACTAGATGACCTCTAAAGGCCCCTTCCAACCCAAAACATTCTATGATTCTATGAAAGTTGAGACTTTCACAGCAGTATAAAGGAAAATTAATTAAACGTGATTTGTAAGTTGTGATTTGAAAGCTTAAGTTGTTCCTTTAGTCTTTATCTACTAATAAACAGAACAAAGCAGAACAAAGCAATCCAAAACAAAAGCTATAAATGTGGAACTATCAGCTCAAAGCAAGACAGTTTTGAATTAGATGAAATTAATGTGAATTGCAATTTCATAGAGTGCCCAAATGTGAAGTTAAGAAATAATAAAAAAATAATAATAATCTTGATTTCTCTAACTTTGGTGGTTTCATACAAAATTAATGGATTTTTCATTGCATTGATTCAAGAAATAACAATGAATGCCTCAAAAAATTAAACTTACTACCTATATTTACTAACCCTGCAGCCTCACACTTGAAATCTATGGGAATTTTTAGGACTTCAATAGAATTTTTTATCGTTTTGGCTGAACTTTAAAGTTTGGATAAAAGTAGGCTTAATTTCATGTCTTCATACTTTTTTCCATATATTTCCAAACAGAAATTTATTTTTAAAAGTCATAAAATACAGGTGTGATTCAAGAGTTAAAAATACTTTGTTTTTAAGCAGTAAATGGAAACCTTAGCAAGACACGTAGATAATTCCCTAAACAATACATGAATGAGTAATTAAGCTGCTGAAAACATTATTATAACATTTACATCATTGTAATGTTCTCTTTTAACGTTAACCGTCAGCCTTCAAAGGAAGAGGTAATTTTACTAAGCCAAGCATTTAAGCACTAATTTTTAAAAACACAAACCTTTTGTTTTGCTTCCAAAATTTTTGCCTCCAAATCAGCTGGTATTATTTTGCCTCTGTAATTATTGTAGAAACAGAAAGACAAAGAGCATTAAAAAGTTCATATTAGCTACAGCTGAAATAACTTAGACACAACGTACTGAACCAGTCCTTAAGCACAATACAACAAATTTAACAGATGAACATATTTAATACATCAAAACCTTAGCATTCAACCTACCTTTCATTGCATTTTATCAAAATCACATTGTCTGTTCCAAATCCAAGTGCAGCTCCAGCCTTCTTTATTGAGTAGTGACTCTGTAGCAAAACATACGCACATTTAATGAAGTGATTGTTTAATGACGAAGCATCTTGACAACACACATCAATACATTAAGAATCAGCAGCATATTAAGCTCACATGTTCCGAGGTAAAGAGAACCAGTTTAGGGACTGCAGCCATGCCTTTGGTTTTGACTTCAGGGAAATACTTGTAGCGTGCAGCCATTATGCTGTACATGTTGGAGATAGCTCCTCCTGTGAATGAATGAATGAATGAATAATAAAATAGTGATAATGAGGAAAAATGCATATGAGACTAAAGACATACAAGTCTCATTTGCATAACGCAGTGAAAATGGCAGTCAACTATGAAAAAATAAATCTCTGAAATGCACGGTCATCTGTCTAAACAGCACAGGGACAGACTCTCTAGAAAGTCATCCTGATAGTTAGAATTCCCTATCCATCATCTCTTTCAACTGCTAACATTTTGTAGCACGTTCCTAAAAAGTCCAGCTTTCATCATGCTGCTTTTCCACGACAACTTCTTGTTAGCAAGAATAACAGGAACTTATCAGATTGTCTGAGGCTGAAGAAATGTGGCATACTGGATGGATTTATCCCATCTCACTGTAGATACAGAAGTAGATGCCTAAAAAGTAGATTTCTACACACAAGATAGTTATTCCAAGCTTCCTTGTAGTCATTTAAGGGAA